TCCTATGAATTGAATACATGCTCTGAAAAGTTTCAAAAAGAGACTGGGAAGAATGTGTTTGCTTTGATCCAACATGTGAAGTGTTCCCTACTACAAATGCCCTTTAATTTAGAAACATTGTTGAAAAGTCTTGTTTGAAAGTACATAAAAAAATATAATATGTAAATAGGCTCTAATTAGTTATTTCAATTAATTATTTTTTTGTGTCTACTTTGCAGCTCCATTTTTTCTCCTCATAATGTTGCTTTTCAGAGTCCAGCTTTGGCACCCTCCAAAAATGTGTTTTTGTAACAGTCCTTATTAAGAAAACACATTCCCCCCAACCCGCTGAAAACTTTACAATGATCAAGTAAAATCCCAGATTGTGTATCTTTATGGGAAACTGTTTCAGACATATTTAATCCGTGATTTGCTAATATGATATTAAAGGAAATCTTGCTGTTAATTGAAAGAACGGCTGTTTCCTTCTTTAAATAAATGGCATCTGTTGTTTTTTTGAAAATACATCTACATTGGGTCACTAGCCTATAATTTTCTTTCCTGGCCATCTTATGTTCTTTCAAAGACAAATACACTCTATTTGGTGATTAAAAGTTTTCATTCTAAGTTGAATAAGATACCTCCCAAGGGAGACAAGAATGTTCTGGAAAAGCACTGGTAAAATGAATTCAAGTTTGTTTCTACATAGCAAATTTTTTGAAATTGATTATGAACCTGAAATGTTGACTTTGGAAACTTAGAAAGTAAACTGTGACAAATTATGAGCTTTTCACTGAGGGGTTCTGCACACCTCCCGCACGTCTATTGAATCAAATCAGAATGACAGAGCCCCGAGGGCCATTGGAGGTCACATAGAAATCAGGGAGCAGTCCTCAGTTTTTACCCACCAGAATCCCTGATGGAGGAAAGAAGGTGAGGACGCACATTAGAAATATGTATTCCTGGGACCAGCAGATAGCGTAATGGCTACATCGTTGGATTCCCAGTGGCTTAAACTCATGCCGGGCGTGTGTGATGCATGCCCAAGATCCCAAGAGGAGAATGGCAGAAAAGGGATTGCGGTGTGGCCATCCCCCTGGAGGGTAATTTCTCACTTTCTGTCTCTCTGTCTCTCTCTTTCTGGCAAGAGCATGTGCCCTATAGCAGAAACCTCTCCAAAAAAAAAAAAAAAAGAAAAAAAGAAAAAAAAGAAAAGAAAAAAAAAGAAATGTGGATTCCTCCTAGCTGAATTTGACAATCCACCAATTTAGTTTAACCCCCTTTTTTTTTTTTTTTGGAGAGGTTTTTGCTATAGGGCGTGTGTGCTCACCAGACAGAGAGAGACAGAAAGCGAGAAATCACCCCCCAGGGGTGATGGCCATGCCACAATCCCTTCTCCTCCACTCTCCTCTCGGGATCTTGGGCACGCACACACACGCGCCTGGCGTGAGTTTTAAGCCACTGGGCCCGAGACGCGAACCGCAGTCGACTACGTGGGAGTCCAGCGACATAGCCATTACGCTAACAGCCGGTCTGTAGTTTAACCCTTTTATTTTGTGATGAGGAAGCAGATGCTGAGGGTTTGATGGGTCAGGTACACGGTATGCCCTACAGAAGAACAGGCCCGGGCTTCCTGACTTTAGACTGGTGCTTGTCTATGTGCTGTGTATCCAAAGCAGTCACGAGCACAATGACCCGTGTAATGACTTCTGAGTTATTAGGGTGATTATGGCACGGAGAGCAGGATGGCATGGTTCTAAATTTTGAAGGGAAAGATACCAAAGACTAGAAGTAGGAGTGTGCCGCTGCCTTTATTTGAACTGAAACCTGAATAAGCCCTAGCCACGTTCTCTCGTCCTTTCTCTGTTTCCTGAGCCCATGCATAGTTGTGAAGACATTTAGCTCATTTATTGAATCGTTAGCTCTTATGGTTCAGCGTCTAGCATGTTGAACTTTGGACCTGCATGCCCAAGTTGATATAAACATTTTAAAGCTAGTATGCTCTCTTAAGATGCATATTTGTGTGTTTAAACATTTCCTAGGTATGTTGCATCTGGAAAATTATAAAAAAGTTGTTAAACTTACAGACAAGGGGCCAGAAGGTGGCACAGTGGTAAAAGTCAATCTTTGTGAGGCTGACCCCCATGGGAAGGTTCCAGGTTTGCTTCTGGAGATCCACTGAGTTTGCCGGGCACACACGTGCCCAGGAGCCAAAGCTGGCTGACTGGGGTGGACTGCAGCATTGAGACCCTGTTGGGGTGCTCTTTCTGTGGCTCTCCGTCATGGAAGACATACATAAACAGACTTTAGAGTAATTATAGACAGATAAGCCCAGTAGTTCCTACTAATGAATATACAGACATTCAGAAAATGTTTCCTGAGGTTTTTACATCTGACATCCAAACAACCAAAAAGCTAAATGCCTAGTTTATTTTTCAGTGTTCTCTGTGAGCAATTATAATAATGATTCTAAATTTCTGCAAAATCGTGACCACCTTGTAAATCATTAGGAATATTGAATTCAATTTAGTATCATTTCAGTTTTAAGTCATTGTATCTATAGTTTTTTTGGAGACAGCACTATCCCAGTGTCTAGAATGTATTTAGTTCTACAGAACTCTGTTCCACAGGTCAGATATGAAAAAATGTGTAATACGTGGTTCTTAGAATGGGCTCTTGCTCTCTCTGAACTTTATACATATACTATACACACACACACACACACACACACACACACACACACACACACAGCGTGTGCACTCACCAGAGAGACAGAAAGTGAGAATTTATCCCCTAGGGGTGGTGGCCATGCCATCATCTCTTCTCCTCCATTCTCCTCTCGGGATCTTGAGCACTCACGCACATACGCCCAGTGTGAGTTTTAAGCCACCAGGTCTGGGACTTGAACTGTGGTTGACTACATGGGAGTTTGGCGACATAACCATTAAGCCATCTGCTGGCCCCAGAATGGACAGTATATTTTAACAGGGAAAAGAAGGCTGTTTCTATAAGCAAGTGACCAGGTTAATATAATCAATGTTGAACAGCTTTGGGAAACTAAAATCTCTGTGTATGTATATCAAATAATACTTAGTTTATCGTGACTTCCAGAAAAAAATATTTACCAATTTCCCACTACATTTAGCATCCCTTCAACATAAACATTTTAAAATTGTTCACCATGTGTACAATTCTGTGTTAAGTACTAAGGATGAAAAAGAGATGTGAGGAGTTTATAGTGTGGTCCTGGCTGGGCAAGCCCATAAAGGCATGACAATTTAAGGAGTTGCGTGCCAACTGCCAAACGAGCGATGTAGCCAGTGGGTTCACAGCCCTGTGGTCATGACAGCATCTCCTCTGTCCAACAGTAGGGGTGTGTGTGTGCGTGTGTGTGTGTGTGTTGGGGGGGTGGTTCTTCCTTATCTTTACACGTTTCTCATTTCTCTGTCGAAAAGCAAGAACTTGTTATGATCTTATAACTCAGTAGTTACAAGATCCTAACCATTCTTAGAAGGAACAAGGATCAAGTACTGGATGCATAATACTAATATGTTTACTTACTGTCTTCACTACATCTCATATTTAAAAAAAAATAGAATTCCCTTTCTGAAGGACATGCTGTGAAACTGCCTGATTATAGGTGTCTTGCAGTTTGTGATGAAAATGGAAGTGCTGTTGAGTTTTGTGATATTTGCATCTGTGGAGTTCATGTGAATCAATTTCTTCTCAGACTCACGGGGAAGTATTTAGTTAAAATAGTATTTAGTTGAAATACTAAATGTGTTCGAGCTCCTCCTCGTAATGGGAATGGGGTGCAACACTGATAATTATTATTATTATTATTATTAAAAGCGTAATTCATTTTTGTATCCACATCACAGACTAGCTTTAGTGTCAGATTTTCTTTATCAATATAGTGCTTGGCACCCAACCATGAAATGAGCTACATAGAAGGATTTCTAAATGAGAAGTCTAGACCAGACATGTCAGAGTAATGATGCTATTTGTATATTCATGATTACCTGTTCTGGAGCTGTGATGGAACTGTCCTTTGGGATGATTGCTACAGGATTTTCATGTTCATCAGCAGATGACAGATGCTCCTGTCTAAAGAGAAAATAATGGCTTCTTTGTGGCCTGGCCATTGCTGTTACCAGGTCTCCTGATAGTACCAGGACAGTGCTCACAGAATCGTGAACTTACTTGGATGGGAATGGGCGCTAGTAATCACTTGCAGTGGTCTTGTATAAAGGGGCAAGGTTTGTCAAAGCAGAGAGCGAGAAGAGAGTGTTGTGTAGGAGAAGCAGTATGCACTGATATGTGGAGGGTGGAGTGAGTACACTGTTTATTTGGGAAACAATGAAGAGAGTTCTCTGAAACAAGGAGGTTCTATTTTCATTGGAGAGTAGTTGGAGAGAAAGATAGAAGGACGAGATGGAGCCAATCAAAGGTCAGATTCCTTACATTGATTCTGTAAAGCAAAGAAAGGCTCTATATCCATTTTTTGGGTCATTCTAGTATCAGATAGAGTTAAAACCAAATCAAAACCACAACTTTTATTGATTTGGTGACCTCAGATGAGATATTTAACCTCACGAAAATCTTAGTTTCTTTTTCTGTAAGGTGAGCTGAAATATCTTCCTTGTAGAGATGTTGTGTGAATTAAACAAGATCCTGTGTGAGAAGCCTCCAGGAAAGGGCATGGTGGAAATATTGTTTGAGCGGGGAGGTGACAAGATAAAAATGCGAACGTAGAGATCAGCTTCTGCCAGCTATATGCAGAGGAGATGGAATTGGAAGAGACCAGAGACAGAAGACTGGTTAGAAGACACAGTAATCCCCCAGGAGGGGAGGGAGTGGAGGCTGTCAGACTCGGAAGACAGACAGACTCATGTATACATGTATTCTCTGCTGCTGCTTTCCTGTTACTGACTTTCATCTAGCATGAGAGTTGTGTAACCTTGTTCTAAGGTGTTAGAAGTACAATAGAAAGCATAGACTCTTTCTTTTTCCTTTAACAGGATGCCAGCGATCCATAGGTCTTTCCAATGGGAAAGCCAAGGTGTGCAATTACAGCGGGTGGTATTACTGCAGCAGCTGCCACGTGGATGACAGCTTTCTCATCCCAGCACGAGTAGTCCACAACTGGGATACTTCAAAATACAAGGTAGGTACAGTGACTAGGCTCGATTAACAATAGCAGTTCAGGTGTTCACATGTTGACAGGTGGACTATAAAAATAATGATAAAGCAAGTTGAAACAGACTTGACTAGGTAGTTTCACGAAAGCTACAAGATATTGTCTAATACTTCTTTTTTGTTTTTATTTGCCAGAGGGCATACGCACTTGCCAGGGAGAGACAGAGAGAGAGAGAGAAAGAAAGTGAGGTATAAAGCACCCACCAATGGGGCGTGGTCACACCACCGTCCCTTCTCTTCCATTTCTCTGTCTTGTTGGCTCTTCGAGTACACACATGTATCCAGCGTGTTTTTCAACCTGTTGGGACCAGGATTTGAACCTCAGTCAGCCATGTGGGATCCAGCTCTCTTAACCACTAGGCTATGGAATAGCTGTCTAACACTTTTTTAGTATCTCACAGTTTAAAGGTTTCTTTACTGTGTCTCTTATTAATTTCCTCATTTAAAAAGATAAATAGCCCGACCATGGTGGCATAAATGGTAAGACACTGCCGGGGACGCATGTGAGCCTGGGTCCACATGGGAGGTTTGATTCAGTTCCCACCCCAATCTCAATGGACCAGGTACAGCCACAGGCACTTATGGTCCTGGCTGACTAGGAGGCTGGGGCGGAGAATCACAGCATGGCAAGGCTCTGCCAAAAATGCCTATCTTTTTCTTTTTTCTGGCCCTCTCTTTTGCTTTCTCCCTTTCATTAAGACAAAACAAAAAAACGAAATTAAAAGACATATCTATATGTATACACACATGCACAAGAGAGAGAGAACAATTTATACTTCTATGCTTTGATGATTTTTTAAAAAGAATTATTTAACTTTATTTATTTATTTAAATTTGACGAGAGAGAGAGAGAGAAAATGAGAAAGCAAACTGCCAGGTCTGGGACTTGAACCACGGTCAGCCATGTGGGAGTCCAGCACCCTTAACCACCATGCTACCTGCCAGCCCCTAGACTTTGATGATTAACTATGAATATGAAGAGAAAATTCTGATAGAGTGTTCTTTCTTACAATCTGGGGGAAAAAAATGGGACAATAACTAATGGATGAGCATGTTACTGGTCTTTGGAGAAGACTTGCATGATCTTGTATTTCTTTTTTTTTTTTTTTTGGAGAGGTTTTTTGCTACTAGGAGTATGCACTCTCCAGACAGACAGACAGAGACAGAAAGCGAGAAATCCCCCCTAGCGGGGGATGGCCACGCCACAATCCCTTCTTCTCCATTCTCCTCTTGGGATCTTGGGCACGCATGCACACATGCCCATCATGAGTTTAAGCCACCGGGTCCGGGACTCAAACCGCAATTGACTACATAGGAATCTAGCGACATAGCCATTACGCTAACCATTGGTCCCCTCTAAGGTATTTCTTATAGTAGAATAGCCCTCTTACTCATGTAAAGGTCAGTCTTTAAGCAAACTAGCCACCTTGACCTGGAACTATGAGGGAAGCCATCAGGGCTTCTAGGTGGGGGTCCACAGCAAGGAGCAGTACACTGAGCCATTCTCAGACCTTCATCTGGACTGTTGTTTATTTAGAAATGGAAACAAGTGAGACACACAGGTATATGCTAACAGCTTTATGGAGTAACTGGTAACAGCCAAGGAGAATATCCGAGAAGTACAGAAAGCAGGCTTGATAGCTGTGAAATCAAGTCATCAGAGGAGTAGAGAAAGACTGAGTACTGGGACACTCCAACTTGCAAGGATAGAGAGAAGAGGAGGAACCAACAAAAGCGGCCAAGAAGGAGTGAGCAGTGAGGTAGAAGGATCCCAGGGTGTCTGACAAGCCATGTGAAGAAAGTGTTTCCAGATGAATTGTGACAGATACTGATAGGTCAAATAAGATGAGCACTGAGATTGACCATTGGCTTTAGTAATGTGGTGGTAATTAGTGGCCTTAATGAGAGCTGTTTGAATGCAGTGGTGGGAGCAAAGGTCTGATTGGAGTGGGTTCAACATAGAATAGGAAGAGACAAAAATAGACAACTCTATTGAGAAGTTTTGCTATACAGAGAAAGAAATAAATGGGGAGTAGTCAAAGGGAGGTGGAGTCAATTAGATTTGATTTTTTTTGTTTTAACAACAAAAAATAATAATCACATGTTTTTTGCTGATGTGAACAATCCAGGACAGAGAAGAGAAATGCCAGGATGAAATGGTAGAGTCAGTGACAAATGAGTGCGGTGGCGTCACGATTCTACATGTAGTCATGGAGACAATAGGAGAGTCTGGCCATGGCAGAGTGCATGGAATAAGAGAAAAGACATAGTCTATGGACATGGCTACCAGGGGTACATAGATGGGATTTGGGAGATTACAGAATTTCTCTTCCAGGGACCAGCAGTTAGCATAATGGCTATGTCACTGGACTCCCATGTAGTCAACCGCGGTTCGTGTCCTGGACCTGGTGGCATAAAACTTAGGCCAGGCGCTTGTGGGTGCGTGCCCAAGATCCCAAGAGGAGAATGGAAGAGAAGGGATTGCGGTGTGGCCATCCCCCCTGGGAGGTGATTTCTCGCTTTCTGTCTCTCTCTGTCTGTCTGGCGAGCACACGCACACTATAGCAAAAACCTCTCCAAAAAAAAAAAAAATATGTAGACTCTCAGGAACCATCCCACAACTACTGTCAGTATCTCCCTGATAAGATCCCCAAATCATTCTTATTAAAATTTGAAAAACACTAAATTGACAATAAATAAATATAAAATGTTTTTTTAAAAGAATTTCTCTTCCATTTGTATCACTTGCTTTCATCCAATTATCTCAGCATCTTTGATTTTTAAAATATTTTATTGTTTTTTAAGAATTATTTTATTTAACCATATTTATTTATTTATTTATTTATTTTAATTTGACCAGAGAGGGATAGAGTAAGAGAAAGAGAGAGGGAAAGTGAGAAGAAAGCCTCCAGGCCCAACACTTGAACTGCAGTCAGCCATGTGGGACTCCAGCGTCCTTAACCGCCATGCCACCTGCTGGCCCATATATATATATATATATATATACACACACACACACACACACACACACACACATATATATGCACACACACATACATATATGTGTGTATATATGTATGTATGTAAATATATATAATAAAAAGATTGTTTATATGTAATATTTTTAAAGTTCTTTTTATTTTTATTTATTTTTAAGTTTCTTTATTATATTTTTATATTACATTTAATCCCATATGTCTTTACAGTGTATAACATTTCTTTTTCCAGCATGATTATCATGCATACCAGTCAAGACAAAGACATTGCTATCCATATAATTTACAAATAGCCCTTCTTTTTATTTTCAGATTATTATATTATTATTATTTATTTATTCTCATATTTTTAAACATTCAGTCACTTTACATCATTTGGCTTGCAAAGAGAATTTACCCGACTTGAAATACTTCTCAGACCAGACCAGTTGAGAATACTGTACATGTTATCATCAACAGTTATTTTAAACCATTTCTGTGACCCACAGATGTCAGGCCTCTCTATTTGTTCTCGTGCTGCCATTCTCTATACTCTTCCCCTTTCCTGCCCCCCATTCCAGACTGACTTCAGTGTCCATAACTATTCTCATTGCTTTTATGCCCTCCATTATTTCGATCTCTACCCTAGAGTGTGGATAGTCGGTATATATTAAGTGGATATGTACAATATCTTTTTTCATAGCCTTGCTTGCTTCACTCAGAAATAAATCTTCCATATTTGACCACTGTCTATCAAATGCCAAGGTCTTGTTGTTTACTATAGCTGAATACTATTCCATAGAGTATAGGTGCCACACTTTTTCAATCCGTTCATCTGTTTGTGGATGTTTGGTTTGGTTCCATGTCTTAGTGATCATGAGTAATGCTGCAGTAAAATTGATGTGCAAGCATTTTTCTGACTGAGCATTCTCCTGTCCTTTGGATAGATACCCAGAATTGAGATTGCTGGATCAAATGGTTGTTCTATTTGTAAATCTTTGAGGGACCTTCATATTGTTTGCCACAGTGGTTAGACCAATTTACATTCCCACCAGCAGTGTAGGAGAGCTCCCCTTTCACCACATCCCTGGGAACACTTAATCATTTTTTGTATTTTTAATCTTCACCATTCTGACAGGGGTTATGTGGTATCTCATTGTGGTTTTAATCTTCATCTCTCTTACGATAATGGATGTTGAGTATTTCCTCATATGCTTTTGGCTGTTTGTATGTCTTCTTACAGAGATTTTTGTTCAGCTCTTTGTTCTATCTTTTAATTGTTTGTTTGTTTGTTTGTTTCGGTTAAACTGCTTGAGTTCCCTATGTATTCTTGTTATCAGTCCCTTATCGGAGGCATATTTTACAAAAAATATTCTCCCATTCTGGGACCAGCAGTTAGCGTAATGGCTATGTCGCTGGACTCCCACATAGTCGACCGCGGTTCAAGTCCTGGACCCAGTGGCTTAAACTCATGCTGGGTGCTGTGCGTGCGTGCCCAAGATCCCGAGCGGAGAATGGAGGATAAGGGATTGTGGCATGGCCAGAGGGGATGGCCATGCTGCAATCCCTTCTCCTCCATTCTCCTCTCAGGATCTTGGGCACACACGCACACACGCCCGATGTGAGTTTAAGCCTCCGGGTCCGGGAATTGAACCGCGGTTGACTACATGGGAGTCCAGTGATACTGCCATTACACTAACTGCTGGTCCCTTGTGCAGTAACTTTGTAATCTGTTATAATCTCACTTGTCTATTTCAGGGATTATTGCTTGTGCTTTGGGAGTCTTATTTAAGAAGTCTTTGCCCATCCCCATGTCTCCCAGAGTTTCTCCAGTGTTTTCCACCAGTGGTTTTATAGTTTAAGGTCTTAGGTTCAGATCTTTGATCCATTTTGAGTTGATTTTTGTTAATGGTGAAAGATGGGGATTCAGTATCATCTTTCTGCAGGTGGATTCCTAGTTTTTCCAGCACCATTTACTAAAGAGATTTTCCTT